ATATTTAAAGTAAAATAAAAATTCGATCTATGATCCGACCTGCAGAAACTTCTCATCTTTCGGCTAAAAAAAAATTGACCAAAGTCCGACATCTACGAAGCATGAGAGTTTTTCCTGTGAAACCATTTTTGTTCATAAAAATAGCGCTTCGATAATAGTCATCGAAGTCTAGCACTGACTTGTGCATGCGCGTGCGTATACATCTTTATCAAAGCTCACTCACGCTAATATCGATTTACATTCTCACACACGTCATGCACGGGCTGACACAACATGTGAATTAATTGCCTAAATTTTACTCCTTAATATGACCGTCACCGACACCCTTTAGTAATATAAGAAAGATAACTCAATAAATCAAAAATGATATTACTTGCTTTTTAATTGATTTGCACATTATTGTAAGAAATGTTTATATATTAGCATCTAACATTTTATATAAATTGTAACCAATACCTAAGTGTTTGAGTGTTTGACTAATCAAATATTAAATGTTATGTTATGTCTATAACAACTGTTTAAGCATATATTGGCTATTATATCGACTGTTATCCTTAGCACATAAATGTTTACACTATTCTAGGAATCTACTCGTTCGAATTTTGATGTCGATGCATCAAAATTCTTTAAAAAAATATCCGCTAAATAAATTAGAGTAAAAAAGAAAGGGGGATTCTCATTTGAAAAACAAAAGTTTGTATCACCACTGGACCAACATCCTTAAGGGTCTAGTTCAAACCACGAATAATAAAGATAGGTTAGATCTTTATTCTTTATGGTTCAAACTTCAAACTAAAAGTAAAAGGGTATAGGATAATATTTTTTTTGTGATTAAAGTATTAAACAGTGCTGCTGCTCAGTTGTTAATTTGAACTCTCAACAACAATATTATTATTTGAAAAAATCTCGTCGGTTTTATCTCATTTCGATTTCAACAATACGTTAACCTTTTACTTGTTTGGAACGCACCTTATTTCAACAGTATACTTCACTGCAAATGTATTGAAATTGAAGTATACCTAACCTAGAATTGGCTATTTTAATCGAACTCAACTACTCATGTGTGGATTTTAAAAATCGTATTTGAGTACCTACTTATTTTGAAGACCTTAAGTTTTTTTGTAATACTTCTCTCGAAAGTAGGTACTTTGTACAACACCGTAGAACGACTGCAATCTGGCTGTCGACACACCAAGACTCTTTATTTCCCCTTGGTCTGCTCAATAATTAGAATTCAAGTGACTAAATTTTATATTATTTTTATAATAAATTGCACGCTTGGTAATGTTATATACAGGTACAATACTACAATGGAAAAGATTGCATTGGAATAGGTACATTACAAATGTATTTATTTATTTATTTATATAATATTTTAATTGAATAACATTGATTCATATATTTTCTATACAAGTATGATAAATTAAAAATAAATGACTATATACACTAAAATAATAGTCTATTAGCCTATAAAATATTATTAATAATAACGTAAACTAATAGAATAATATTAACGTTATTATACGTCTATACACTAACAATCATTTTAATAATATTATATATATAAAAAAAATAATATATATATATTCATACCATATATATATATATATATATATATATATATCGTCAATTTGATTATCTATTAATGTATATCTAAATAGTGGTGTTTTAAATAAAACTCGTTTGACCATATTTCTAATATCATTATCATATATAACTATAGGTACGGTATCTATATTATCAGTTCCGACAAATGTTTTAATGTTATATAGTAAAACTCATATAGTTTATAATATAATATAAATTTTTGATAAAATAAAAAAAACAACGTAACCACTAATTCAACAACAACAACATAATAATATATTGTGTTATACACCTATATAATATTATCAAAATAACGGACACGGAAGATTCGTAATAAACAACAGGTACGAAAAAAACAAAATAATCAGACATCAATATAATATATTTTTCTGTGTTTAAATTCGTCGTTTTTGGTTCCAACAAAAATATAATAATAAAGAATAATAATTTCGTCGTCGCAAACAACGGTTGAATGGTCGACGGCCGTCGAGGCAATATAAACGCGAGGGTCGTGAGCTTGGGCGTTTGGGGAGAAGAGTTGTCTATAAACGTATAAAAAAATAAATACCAACGAGGTAAGCGTCGATATAATGACGTATAAAGTTGATATATTTAGCCTGAAACGGGTTTGTTATTTTTTAGCTTAAAGTCATCCTCGGCGCGAGACGACAATTTACAATATTATAATATTAAAATATATAAAATGCGACCTAGGGGGCTGGAAGAATCGTGGTATGGATATACTATATAGGTAAGAATCGAAACAAAAACGGTTTGTTGGCGGATGTCGTGGTCGACAATACGTCGCACGTGTGAATATTCGGTATTAATTATTTATTGATTTATGTCTACAACTCACTTGCGATAACATATAATAAACGCGCAGACGAGGAACTCATTACCTATGTGTATGATAGCGATATAGTATTTACATCACGATCGTGTCGGTATATGTAGTGGTGGTGGAGTGGCACGTTCCTCAGAGGGTTTACCCCCGATCGGGGTGATTGTCTCAAGTCTAAAACGGGAGGATCAGTGGGAGTCGGTGTGTGATAAACGTTAAAAATACAAAAAAATGTGGTTCGACGCCGTTTATATTTTGTCTGCTAAAAAAATTACTTACGCGGAACACGAAAATCCTGCATATTTTGGGGGTGTTTTGCCTCTACTTTGAAAATTGTTCAGCACCCCACTGTTGATATTGCGGGTAAACACATTCTTTTCGTACGAATTCCTGCGGTGGTGGCGTACCTACGCGAAATTCACGAAAACGACGACGAGCGCTTTAAATACGTCCTGCCACCAAAATTACACCGAAACAAAATTCGGTATATATATATAGGTAGTGGCGGTGGAAGTGGGGAGTTTTCCTCAGAAGATTTCCACCCCGATCGAGGCGATTGTTTAAGTCTAGAAAGGGTAGGTGGGTGGGGGTGAGTGTGTGATAAACGTTAAAAATACAAAAATATAATATACAATAATACGATGTCGTTTTTTGTCAGTTTAAAAAAATTATTTACACAGGACACGAAAACCCTAAATATTTTGGGTAGCCGGGGATCCCTGGTCTTTTGCCTCGACTTTGAAAACTATTAAGCACGCCACTGTTGGTATTGCAGGTAAACACACATCGTTTTGGTACGAATTCCTGCGGTGGAGTACCTACGGCGAGAGTTTAAAATATTATACGTCACAGCGGAAATGTAATGCTGCGAAACCGATGCGCTCGTCGATATGGAATGTTCTAAATTTTGGTCGGTGATGATGATAATAAACGCGATTTACGAGACAATATCCACACGCCGCGGTGATGATCGACGGTCGACTTACAGACGTTGAAAAAATAATTCATAAAATAAAAACGATAAACGGATGTCCACGAGTAAGGGGACTTGTGTCGATGGGGCTCTTTTCAAGCCAAAATTACCACCGACACATGATGGTTGATTCGCTTAGGATATGTAAATTTTGCAAAACTGTGTAATTCTACATACTTATATACTAATATTGATCTCGAGACGAAACGATGTACTTACGACCGCCGCCGCTACACAAGTTCAAATGAAAATCAGTCCATTCGCGTAGTTGCGCCAACTCCGTCACGTCGTCTCTGCGGGTTCATTGGAAATCCTTAAATCCTTAATACCCCGATTCATGCGGGGGGGGGGGGGGGGCTGGGAGCCTAAACGGAAATTCCCCCTCTGTGTAACGGACCGGTCTCGGTGCCACTTGACTTACCTACTTATAATGTTGTATAATTAAACGAAGTAATTAATAAATTATTGTAATATCAATCATAGGCGTGCGCAGCCTCCGGTTTCAGGGGCAGCAAGAGATTAATTCGGCCCATTTTTCAAATTCACCATTAAAACCAGCCCATAGTTTTACTTTTTTTACTATTGGATATCAAAATTAAAATTGTATTGTTATTTGTTTTTTGGATAAAAGGTTGTATAGTAAGGTACTAAGAAGTACTTTTCTACAAATATAAAATATTCATCTATAGTTTATCAAAAAAAAATTTTTGTGGAAATATAATTTTACCGAGGCCCACTATTTAATATTTGCCGGCCCCAGTGGCCCAAAGAAAGCAGCATATGCTGCCTCTGCTGCCCCCGTGCGCACGCCTATGATTCAATTTTATTGAGTAATTATTTTAGTAGTAAAATTCAAATTTTTGGTGTTGCAAACTTTCTTTTGTTACAATATGGATATTCAATCCCCCTCGTCTGTCTCTCGACGGCCTCAATTCTTCCTCTGATACATAAATAACTGTAATAAAGACACTTTCCCAACAGTGCTAAAGAGTCATCGCCACATTTTTTTGAAAATGTTTTCATTGAAATATCAATGAACGAAAAGCCAAACCAAACCTATAATTTTGGTTTTAATTGACATGCGGTAACCACCGTGACGATAACCATCTTATCATCTTAATATGGAAAATTAAATTTAGATAATCAAATTAAGTGTTAATTAACTTATTTTTCATAAATACATTAAACAAGTGACAACGTAGGACCCTTACAAACTTTAATACTTTTGGTGTTACTTTTGCAACACCCAAAAACGGTTTGGTGTCGCCAGTGCAACTATATATAATATAACACTTGCAACACCCGAATTACGCTACTTGCGTATAATAACCTATATAATACACTAACCGTACAATAAATACCTACGCGTCGGATATGCCAAAATATAATATGTAATTGTTGTATAATGTCATACTTAAGTAAAATTAGAATCTATTATGTATATGGTATGTCAGTGTATTTGTGTGTGTGTTTGTGTGTGTTTTTGTGTGTGTTGTGTGTGTGTGTGTGTGTGTGGGGGGGGGGTATTTGTGGGTAAGTGTGAATACCTAAGTATATAGTAGTATTATTCTAGAGAATAAGTGGCGACCGCAGCAGTCAGTGGCGTTGATGGTTCTTCTTGAAGAACGGCGTCAGCAGCCACGTGGAGGCACCGAACAGCAGTATGACACCCATGCCGTGGAAAACGGGCTTGTAAGAGCCGATCGTCTCGAAGATGTATCCGGCCACAGGCGGCCCGATGAGCTGCACCAGCCCGTTGCAGAACAGTGATATGCCGTACGACGAAGACAACCGCTCCTCGCCCAGCATGTCGACCATAATGACGGCCGTGATGCCGACCACGACGCCGGAACCGAGCCCGAACGCGGCGCACGCGCAACACATGGTCGGGTAGTCGTCGGCGAACGGGAGCACGAACAGCGCGACTCCGGACAGGACGAGCCCACCCAGGTAGTAGTACCGCTTGTCCAGCCGGATCCAGTCGGACAGCGTGCTGCCGCCTACCCGGCCGACGAGGTCGAGCACGGCCACCACGGACAGCAGGTACTGCGAGCTGCTCTTGTCGTGGCCGATGCTGATGGCGTACGACGGCAGCAGGATGGCCGAGTTGGTGTACCCGATGGCCGTGGTGGCGTTAGACACGAGTATGACAATGAACAGCGGGTCGGACAGCAATTGGAGCGCGCCGGCCACGGTCTTGCGGCGGGACGACGTCGATTGATCGTCGGTCCCGTCGCCGCCGCCGCCGGCTTCCGGTTGCTCGTGCTGCTTACCGGACCGCCGTTTGTCCCGCCGCCGCCGGCGCTGATCCTGCTGCTGCTTCTTCTTGGGCTGCGAATCCTCGTACAGGCTGACCAACGTGCTGCCGTGGAACGGCGTGCTGACGTACCGCAGCGACGATAGCGACGAAGACGCGGCTGCGCCGCGGATCGCCGGCGCCTGCAGGTTACTGCAGTGCTGGTGCTGGTAGTGCAGGTTCTGGTGCTGCAGCTGCATGTGGTCGGCCGCGCCGCCGCTGGTGGTCCGCAACAGGCCGCAGCTGCTGAACGCCTGCAGCGACTTCGGCGAACAGGAACCACCGCCCAGCGGCCGCGCCACCGACTTGCTGTTGACCGCTGCGATGATCGCCACGCCGCCGCCGGCCAGCAGGTACCGATCGTCCGCCGGCACCTTAACGCTGGACGCGTTCAGCTCATTGACGATCACGTAACCGTTGAGGTTCTGCGCCAGCAGCGACACCGTCTCCTGGTGCCGCCCGTCCTCGTCGTCGTCGTCGACGCCGCACCGGTGCAATTCCGTCAAGCTCTTGCCGCCGACCACCGAGTTGGCCGCGGCCACGGCCAGAGAAACCGAAGACGTCACCACCGCATCCGTTTCGCCACCGCTGTCCAGCCCGTCGTCCACGTACTCACAGTCTTCCACGTACTGCTTGACCATGTGCTGCTCGACCGGATGGTACAGCATCGCGCCCACCCACACGTTGAGCGTAAGGGCTCCGAGTATCAGCACCACCTCCCTGCGCCACACGCACACGCACACACACACACACACACACACACACAACACACAACACACATGTATTTTCGGGGTGGTTTTTTAAATGGTATTATTTTATTTTATAATGGAGGGGAGATGGGATGCGACGCGACCCGAAAATTCGAACGATTTATATAAATATAATATTCAAGAGTTTTCGGACCGTTTCGGTATATAGCGTATATATGCATAATAATCATATATTAATATATTATATAATATAATGTAGTATACGACACGCGTTTTGAGGAGGGGGGGAATGTTTTTTGTTTTTGTTTTTGTACTTGTAACCGTAGTGTTCGATCAGGTAGCCCAGGAACGGCGGCAGGAACATGGAACCCAGGCAGCTGCCCGATATGGCCACTCCGTTGGCGAACCCTCGGTACTTGACGAAGTACGATGTCACGATGAATATTCCGGGTGGGAACGCCAGACCTGCGCCGCAGCCGAACATCATCCCGTAACTGAAACAAGCAATGGCCCGTGGCGGTTAGCAAAACAGTTAAAAATAACCAAAGAACGTTTTTATAAAACGCGATAAGAAAAAAATAATTAAATCAGTTATAAAAAAATTATTAGTAAATTATTGCACATTATAAAACGCGCGTCGCTCCGATCGATGGATTCGTTCGGAGTACTTTTGTGTTGCAACAAGAAGTAAAATAAAGTTAGTAAACCGCAAAATCTGGAGTAAAAATCGCTCCACTCGATTGGGTGGTGACGAATAGAATGATTGGTTATTTGTGTTAGAACATGGCAATATACAGAGTGTAACTTTTAGTTACACAGACCTGATAAATAAAACAACTTTTGTTCTAATCGATATTTAAACTTTTTTTTTGTATATATATATAGGTACGCTTGCTCTGCAAGTAGTGTATAACATTTTTTTTTTCATAGGTACCCCCAAAAATAAAAATTTTTAATTTTGTTAAATTTATTTTGGAAAAATTCAAAATAGCCGATTTGTATATCTATAGTTTTTAAACAAATATATTAATGGTAAAAAGTAAAAAGGTTTATTTAAATCAAGTAGTTTTTTTTCAATTTTTTTTGAATATCAATATGTTTTTGGCTTAAATTAATTTGAAACTTAATAAACTAATAACTTTTTTCAAAATATTCTTTTTGTGAATTTACTGACATAAGTATGTTTTTTCAATTATTTATTGTCCATATAGTTTTCATAATTGTTGCCATTCGTTTAACTAGTATAATTTTTTCTTTTTTGTCAGGTCTCTTTTTACACTACATAGATAGGTATTCGATTGAATTATCCACTAAATGCGCTACATGTAGCTCAGCATAATATTTCGTCGTCTCGTGGGATTCGATAACCCGTGAGAGAAATACCATCAAATACCAGCTGCCCGATATACTCTGAAAACCTTATTCTACGGTAGAATAATTTCGTTTTACACTGCTGCATATACATTTGCTGTTCAATGTTAGTAAATCAATATACGTCAACGTCAATTTATATAACAATAATCAAAGCGGTCGAGAGATGGAATTTTACTTACAGGAAGTACCATAATTATATAATGTGATTTATTATTGGTTTGTTTTTTTATCGTACACAGCACGTAGGTACCTAGCTCCTACCTACACCATGTACATATATATAAATAATAAATATGAACTAATTCAATAATTTTGAACCCAAAAGGTTCCTCTTAATTCTAGATTGCGATACAAAAGAATATATACAATGAGTTTAAAAATAGAGATACATTCTGAAAGTCATAAACAGTCAGACAAATACAAAAATATACGTATTTCGTTCAATATAGGTAGGTAATATAGTATAATATAGTAGGTACCATCGCTCAATAACCACTCTGACCTAACATCAGTCGGACGTTACGGCCGTTCATATTGTTGGCAAACTCTACACGTATACTACATTAGTGATTCAGTTTTGTGTCATTTAAAGTTGTAACACAAATTTATTTAATTATTTACTTAGTTACATTTGAATGGGTTGGAAAGCCAAATAATATTTAATATAGGTAACAATATATTAACATAATATGAATTTAAACAGAAAACATAATAATAAAATGTGTTCCGTCTGCGTGAAGTTGGCCCCCCGACTTTTCCACTCCAAACCAATGCAATATTTTGCGACTTATTTGCAACTTTTTGCAAGTTTGTAACACGCTTTTGGAAATTTGCGACTCCACACTGTAACAGATATGATTATTTTAGTGCCGTGGGGCAGGCTAATAAAAATTTCACACAATTTGTGTGCACACAACGCAATTTCTGCTCCCCTAAAAGTAAATTGTTGATTGCGGCGAAAGTATGGAGTTGCAAATTTCCAAAAGCGTGTTGCAAATAGTTGCAAATGTAGGTTGCAAAATATTGGCATGGGTTTGGAGTGGATCGGGTAGAGTCGGGGGGCCAACCTCGCAAACGTAAAAGTGTTCACTCTACAGAGTGAAATGTGAAAAATAAATAAATTAACTTGTCCATCATAATTCATAATTAGCTAATCTCATGGTTCTATTAATAAGTGCTGGTAGAGCATAAAGTATTAACTTTTTGGAATGTGATATAAAAATGTATTGTAGATCTAGTTCGAGGGACGTACAAATTAAAGCAGTTTAGTAATATTTTGGACAGTTAATCAGTTATATAACTTATCGGCAAAAACAATATACTCGTCATTCGATTGAGGGCAGATGGGCAGAACCATTTTATTATCGAAATTATAAGTTTATAATATTTAAATATTTTTTGATCTATACACAGTATACATATAAAATATAAATATACAACATAATATAATATACTCGTTTAAATATCATGCGTTATGGCCTGATCGTCCATGTTTATATTATACTTTATGATTCTCTATCGGTCCGCATTGTAGTGTTCGACGTCGTAGTACATTTTATTGTACTCGAAACAAATAAATTAAAAAACAAAATACGCCTTTTCATCGTTTAAATATTTTTTTTTTGTTTATATTTTCGAGAACGATTTTGTTTAATCTCTCGTACCATGTGCAGCCACATAACTGTTATTTACTCGGGTTTTTTCATAGAGTTTTTATCGATTAATATAAAAATATAATATGTAAGATATAACACTCGTACTTGTTTTATTTTCCTAATAAGACCATCATTGAATCTATATGATTCACATGATGACTGGATATATCGCTTCAAAATATGTTGCCTAATTTATTTTTTATCTGTTCGGTAGGGTCTTGTACGATACGTCAAGGCCGTGAACACAGAATTGCTTACATAAATAGTAATATTATCGTCGAATGCATCAACAGTGTTATGTTAGTGTTACATTTAACGAGCAAAGGCTAATCGTTCGACAGCATCTCGTCAACAAAAAATGATGTGCTATCTGAATAATTTTCTTTGTACCACTAAACCGTCAAAACATTTCGATAAATAAACACATCGTCAGTAGTCGATATAGGTACTGACATAACGCCGATCAGATTAGATTTCACAGGGGGAGCGAGTATAAATAAGTTTAATAATAATAACGACTTGTGCACCGAATCTATACACACGATCAGACTATAAACTTTTCACTTTATCAGAAACACAACGCTCGTCTAGGCCTAACTGTAAGTCTATTGAAATACAAAATACATTATGAAATTATAATATATACCTACGGTCACAACAAATAACCCACTATCGTACGTAATACAATATAGATTTCATCACTTATCTGAAACCAATCAGCATAAACGAACTGACGTATACGAGTGCTCATTGCAATACGAACCGTGAAATTGTAAAAAATTCTTATATGCAAAATAATATATTATACATTTTTTTTTTTTTTTTATTGAACAAAAATGTATATTTACAATCTGTATTTGCACGTTATGCAATAAGTAAATTTGATGTGGTTTGATTGGCGGGAGGGGCAAGTCACCCAATAGTGGCACCCCGTGGTACAGTATATATACATTTAAAAATAAATAAGTGCAATTGTAAAAAAAAGCTGTATGGTTAATATAAATGCAAATCTATACATATATTATATAAAATTCGTACAGTATTTTAATAAATCTATGGATCTATCTAATGACTAATTGTATACCTATAGATATATTATAAAGATTGATGCTGTTATAAGTTTCTAAGGAAATTTAGAACATATTATATTATAATATTATGTTGTATAGAATAATGACTGAGATGATTCAATTCAGTACGTAACCAAATGTTAAGTAAATTAATAATTAGTAGAGACATATTTTATAACTCTATAGGAATTTCAACCATGAGTTTACCGTTTATAGTAAAAATTCAATGAATTCGGAGGAAGCCCGGACAGTATCCGTTGGACCATAAAACAAAAATATAAGATATTTTTACACAATATACCATGGATTATGGTTAGGCTATATTCTATCCGTATATATAAATAATATTATGTATACGATTAGGATTAAACATAAAATCTATAAGAATAATACAATTTGATAGTTGTTTACAGCGTGGAATCACATTTAATTAAAAATTAAAATTAAAATTGCGATTAAAGAGGTGTCAGAAATATAAATAATATTTCGCAATAATTTTAATGTATCTAAATACAATAGTAATAACACTTTATAAAAATATTTAAGTATAAAAAATTATACTAATGAAAAAACAATAAAAATTGTATTCATATTTATTTAGTAGTTTAAAATATCAATAGTTATACGCTTTTGAATTAAATTTATTAATAGTAAAACGCAAAATACATGTTTCATATATACTGCTACTAAATAATAAATTATAATGAATGTTATGAATTTATGATGATTTATTACAATAAAATCACATGCATTATTCATTATCCTGACTTTGAATTTTGGTAACGTTTCTACATCATAAAACTAACTAAAACTGTCAACGATATTTTATTGTTAATAATATTATTTGTAGTTATTTATACATTTTTATAGTAGATAATATTATTTATTGTTTATCAAACAAAGGTATGGATTTATCTTTTTTAATTTGATAATTTTAATCAAATTCAAACCTAGTTGACAAAGAAAACGATTATGGCGTAGTTACATTAAATCTGTTTAAAAAACAACTTGAGTGCTCTGAAGAAACAAAATTGAAGACATTTTTTTTTTGGAAATTGTTAAATTTTTTCTTTTATTTTCTTCTGCAACACTAATTAAATTTGCAGTATAAACGTTTTATCCGGACTTAACCAAAGTGTATGCATATCGTTTTATTAATTCATAAGTTGATTATTATTACACTTTTTTGAATACTGTCAAGGAATTTCACACTAGTTAATTAAAAACATGATAATATAGGCTCAAAAATAAGATTATCTGGATATTATTTTTTTCTTCAAGTACATAATATCAGTGCGATGTAATTGACGCAAAAATAATTGCTTATTGTGGAACAGGTGAATTGTTATTTGTACCTCATATACCTACTAATTATGTCTACAGGCTATCAATTTCAATTTACATGTGTTGATAGATAAAATATATTATGTACCTAGGTACTGCAATTTCGCGTTAAATTGTGTTTTTGTATCAACGTTAAATAAACCTCAAGGTCGTTGAAGAAAATTTCAATTGATTCGTTACCATATATTATAATGTTTTTTCTCATGGTCAACTTTACATGCATTAACTTAAGCCTTTTTGAAGAATCAAAAAAACCATTAATACACTAATTATAGTATATACAATAAGTATATGTATAGTGATATACCTATTTAAGTACGAATATCGCAAGACAGATGGAAACCATAGTGTATAGAAAAACGTTAATAAATGTAAATAAGTATATAATAAATATATATCAAAGTTCTTTTCAGTGTTTGGAACATGAACTTATTGACAAACAAATAGTAATAATGTGTATAAAATATTGATTTTTTTATAACTTTGTAGGTACCTACAGTGAATGAAAGATAACTGCAGAAAATGGTTGCCCGCTTCCATATATAATAGTGATTATTTTATTGGAAACACTCATACCTTCAAAGGTACCTTTCACACCTTGAAAATATTTTGTTTTTTTTACAAGTCAAAACAAAATAATATTTTTGAAAAGATCATATTTTTACAATTTGTTATTGTTAATATTTCTTAAGTTTTATTTGTTGAATGAGGAACATTCATTTTTAATTTCATATTCAGAAGCAGAACATTTCTCATTTGATATTTTACTTTTTTAAAATTGAACTTTGAATGATTAATTATTAATATTTGTGTGAGGCTGTGTCACCCACTCCTCTCATCAAAACTTTAAATACTTATAACTATAATTAAATCCTCGTTCAAAATTCGTTTTTCAGGTATCAAAACACTCAGAAAAAATATCCAGCTCTGTTTAAGAATTAAAAAAATCATGTTGTCACTTGTCATTAAAAAATGTACTAACTTAAAAATGTAGAACTAATTTTTAAGTTTTAAGTCTTATTGTTATGTATTAAAATATTATATGTAACTGACTCTTCTGATGTCACACACCCCAAGCACAATTTTTGCTTTTGGGAGGGGGGGTGTCATATATTGTATACTTTATATATTTTGTCATCTGTTATGACAAAAAAAAATATATTATTATTTTTATTTTTATAATAAAACAAAATATTTTCAAAAACTCTAATACTATTTTCAAAGTGATGAGTCATCACTGAATACTGATGACTATAGTGACTGTTTATTGTTCAAATACTAACCCAGTTTATTATAATTCAATATTGCTAATATTGCTATACCTAATACTATACCTAAAACAATAATCATATGTATATACAGTCAAAGAAAAATACCGATTAAGTATTAATACATTTCTTTGAAATTAAAGTAGAATGAAACGATATAATAACTTACTAGTATAATTTATATATTATTATGTATGCGGAAATACTTGCCTGAAGTACAGAAATGTGATTGAATCGGCGAAATAACAGAGCATCAATCCCAGAGAAGCTAAGGTGCCTCCAATTAGCGTTACTGTACGATATGAGTATATTGATGACAGGTAACTCGAAACAGGACCTAGTTAAAAGAAGTTAAACGAATTATAATCTGTTTGTTAGTGAGTTAAAGGATGTTCCAACATCAAAGTATTGTATTTGTATTAAAATTTAGAATTATATAAAATATCCTCCTATATAAAATATCCATAATGAGCGCGGGACTCATTTAAATTCTTCAGCAATCTGTGTGCATAATAATATGATTTAATTTATATTTTGGAAAATGCACTATAAATGTATAAATGTTTTAGTCACTAAAATATGTTTTAACTCGATAAATAATATTAAACGCGTTGAATCGGCTTCCTTGGAAATACATTATGATAATTTACACGCAGTACAGAGCATTTTAATTAAAATATATTATATTTTCGTGTAACCAATTCGCAAGAGGGAATAATTTGGTAAATGTAATATCAAGCAACTGCAGACTGATCCTTTCTAATTTAACTGAATATTATTGTTTCAGTGTAGTGATGACGCAATCGCTAATGTTTAACCGAGAAAAGCTTTGGCTAAAGCCAAATCCACGTCATACCACTCATAGGTACCCTATACCCATAAATGTAAATTATTCATGAGACCGACTTTTAAATTAATTATAAACTGATCAAACACGGTTATTAACAAATTTAATTGAGTGTGAATGGATGGTGTAATGTATACTTTGAACGCATTGCATATAATAATATATTGGTAGTCTAAGAGCTTGAACGCAAAATCCATTCTCTTGGGTACATTATATATTAACATCTATATAGTCGATAAAATGGAATAAAATATGGTTATTTCGGTCAGCCTCAGAGGTATATTATTATTTATTTGTAAGCATAAGCCAAGGAGGGAATAATAACTGATGGAACTATATAGAATATGGATAAAAGCCGGATTGAACTGAAGAAATTATCATAATTTATTACGATACTATCAAAATATTTAATAATTAATTCATATATGAATATTGAACATCTCAATATTATATTATATTAATCATATAAATTATCAATAATTATATGATTTTAGATTAAGTTATACTCGTCAAAAAATCAAACCAATTGGTACATTATTTAAATTAGTTCTCTGTAGCTGAATTTAATATTTTATAGAGACATGAAAATTTAAATAAATTAAACTCGTTTATTATCCATAAATATATATATATATATATATATTATATAACAATATGTAGGTATATAAGTGTATAACTATATATTTTTAATAGTGAATAAGGTATGGAATATATATATGTATATATAATTTGGGTCATTAATCATTTTGAAACTTGAACAAGTTTTGCTTATGGTATTTATAATTTATCAAAAAAATTATTTCGTTTCCACTTCTTCTTATGCCCACATATTATGAGTAATGTGTATATAATACTTTATAAAAGACATAATCATGAGACATTTTAGGAATTTCTAATGTTCCTGTCGTACACTAGTACTTGTATAGTTTGTATGTATGCAGTCAAATATTGTTGATACTAATTTTGTTATAGTATTCGACACATTGAATAATCAGAGTACTTGGCATAAAGCCATGAACTATATTATAATCGTTAATCAAATAAATAAATTCATAAAACTGGCCCAGAGACTAGGTATTATATTATATTAATATAAATCATTTGCAGGCATTTTAATTTGGGTTAAAAATCCAAAATATATAACTGAAAACTAGTTAGGTTAAATGATTTTTGAATGGCTTGATTTCAACACTAACTAATTTTACTGGTCATATTTATTTGTAACTAATTTAGATTTTATCACATCATAATATTATTATCATTGAGGTAGTATAAATTATAATATTACATATATTATTGAACAAATTCTTATTATTTAATTTAAGTGATTATATTTATTGTAAAAAATAATAGAAACATTCAATTATACAGTTATATTGTCAGTATATAATATAACTGAATTTAAACTGTGGATTCTAATGAATTACTATTATTAATTCAAAAATATATAGGATATATAGGTAAGATAAATAAATATTAATTTTAATAGTTAAATTAAATTAAATGTTTATGATGGAAAGTTCAAAGTTTAAGTATTCTGTGTTTGATTAATAATTTATTGATATTTCTAATAACGGATTATTATATGTCTAACTATCAATAATATTATAGTATATAACTTATTATACTTCGTGATAAGTTATGTCAGAATAACGAATTTTACCGCATTGACCTTTTTATGTTTTAATCGCGTGGTAACTTTTTTCTGTAATTTAAAAATAATGTACCCAATGACCAGATATTTATGTTAAAAAAATTCAAGAATCTTGACATATTTTGGATTTTATAATTTTCCCATAATTTTTCATATCGATGATATTTAACTTAAATACTCGAGCTTAAAATAAAATATTATAAAATTATTGATGAATTTTATTTATTTGTTTGCAGTGTTTCATCATGATATGTTTATAGTTATTGATATCCTAACTGTGCCTCGTCATATTATGAGGTCGTTACCCGCTAATTTATTACATTTTTTAACATTTAAATTTTCACATAATTCAGTCAATTACAAATGATGAATAGAGTGGAATAATATTAAGCAATTATTGTATCATTAGAAAAGTGGAACTGTTTAATTAAGATGGTTTATTTTCGATCAACTGCATATTATTATGTATATTATTATACCACAGTTTCAAATCGTTTGGTGAGTCATCTGCCTATTATCAACTCAACAAATGTGTTTGATCAATTAACACATCGTCGTCTATACAAGTCAGTAATATAATAATGTATAATATAAATAATATTCACCTAAAGAACAATAGAGAAAATAGCAAATTGCGGGTATCCATGAGGCTGCGGTCTCCGACGCATGAAACGCTTCTGTGAACTCCACGAACAGCACCCCAAATGATTTAAGCGTGCCTGGAATCAACATGTTGACCAATGTGCTGCCCAGGAGCACCAGCCAGCCCCATCCACCATCCGGAGGAACGAGTACATAGTTTTGACCATCTATATTACAAAAAAAGTATAATAATATAATATAGATTAATATAATATTATGTAATTTATAATGTAATTGCATTTTAAGATGTCACCAAATTTCACAACAGCTAGGAACAAGAAATGTGAAACATTTCAAATTTTGTCTTAAACCTCATACTTAATTTTAATTCAAAATTCAATATTCCAAATTTTACTTTCTTAATTTTCAATCAAGTTAAAAGTATGGTAATTGTGATGGAAATAGTCTGCATTTTATAACTTCAAGAGTTTATGGTAAAATAGGAAAATAATAAAATGTAACTTAGTAATAATGAGTATAGGTGGGTAATTAAGTTAGGTATCTCTAATATAAGATATGAATAAGATATATTTAATATCATGCCCAAGCGGTGCAATGATTTGAGTCCAGAAAAATACTTTATTTTTTTTAGCTTTTCTCTTAAACTATGAGAACTAGAAAGTTGATTGGTAGCTCATTAAAAAGGGCTTATCGGGTAAATACAAAATGTGAAATAAAAATTTTAAAATAGTTAATAAAATAGGTAGTCGATTGTAGCTAGATTTTTCTAACGTAGATCTGAAATTTGAGAATGGATTTTGATGTTTAGGGTAGAATAATAAGATTGATAGAATAAATTACATTCACTAGAAGAAGTACAGTGAAGAGTTTCAGTCCTTTATCTTTAATAGTTCATTCACTACAGACTTTTATAGTTATACTTACATCATAAAAACTCACATATATGCAGATAACAACTAAATACCAAAGATGAAGATTCGTTTAAATTTTAAGAGAGCTAAAAGTTCGATGGGATGTTCCATAAGAACTAAGTACGACTAAAGTATTAAAAAAAGGACACAATTTTAGAAAATTGCAAATTAAACATTTCGAGCACTGACTAAAGTCTAAAATACAATTTGGTTTAATCCTATTGTATACAATTTAATATAGTCAATAATTCTCCAATAATTCAAAATCAAAAGTGTACCTATATGCGGATCCTGACTTGGCAAGCGTTTTCTTTTCACAGAACAGTATTTATTGGAAATGTTTGTTGAATTGTTAACAATTTAGTTAATTATATGACAATTTCCCTTTGATGTTTACAAATGGGCAGCCAAATGCATGCCAATAAATTATAGGTTGTAATGTATTGTTCAACGGTAAGTCAGTAACCAATAACTATTGTATATAATAATGTACGCTTATTGTATAGGTATAATATAATATTATTATGTGTTTATATTATATTCACTATAGGTACATGAGTAAATGTAATAAATTAATAGATGCATAAATTAAATACCTACTTGTATAAAAATTGACTAACGAGTAATTATTATTTATAGAGACTATTCATTTATTCTTGACACAATATGATGAGACCTGTGTAATTTTAGTTCATAATATCATGAATTTTTATCATATTTGTCGAAAGTTAAGATACCGACCGTGGCGTCAAGAATACTTAGGCAAAATTTCTGAATACAAAACGTACGAACATGTACATAAATATTACCCGCCATAATTTATTATACCTACGTAGATTCTATTATAATAAGTAATAACTAATAATAAATATATTTACAAGAAGAAAATTGGTTGGTATTAACTTTTTAAAGTACCTATTTAATTACTTAAGACCGAACAATACACAATACACGTTTAATAGTATAGGTAATAACTTATACTTATATTTATATATCTATTCAATTCTAAAAACAAAAATATTTTAAATCTTTTGTATATTTTTTTTAGTAATTTGAATATTTATCGATTTTTATTAATTTATGATTTTTAATAATTAAATTGAACCATAATAAGAATTGATTTATTCTCAACCTTCTTAACCCTAAGTGAGAGAACCTTATTCAATAAAACTTCACTCAAGTACTTATACTCTTAAATAAATAATGGTTGGTGCATAAATAACTAAAAATGTGTACAAATAAATTTATAATTATTTATTACATTTCATATATTATGTCAAACATCAATCGTTTTGCATATTTTTAAAATGATTTACATCTACGATGTATACATAAAATCTCAGTTTTAATGTACGTATAATTGAAAATATGTATGTAAATTAAGACAATTTTAATTTAGTTAAAAACTGTTTAGTGTTTTTCTATAATTTTATACATACATTTTAGAATTTCATTTAACATAGGTACCTACTTACATAATATTTAGGTATATTATTTATATTTAAGAAGTCCGGTGCCAGTTTTTCAAATTTTCCACAATTCTATAAAATTTCATATTTTAGTTGCCACCTCAATTATAAAACTTTTCCACTAATATATCTATTTGGGGGGAGGGGTTGATAGGGTGTATTATATCGAAAAAAATGACTTTACGGGAATAACTCTCAAGCTTTGTAGAATTGTCGGATTTTGATGACTATTTTTTATCTTAAAGAAGAAGACTTCCTACAGACCTCGTCGATCTCTGATTTTGTATTTTATTTCAAATAGCTGCAATGTGTTAAATTTTGTATTTTTTTATGTAAAAAATTTTGCAAAAAAAAATGTTTTCTTGTATTTTTTTAGACATATTATAAAGTTGAGAATAAAATATTGAAAAACAGAGATCGATGCGGGCTGTAGAATATTTCCCTCTAGCAATTAAAAAAAAATATATTAAATTTGGTTGATTCTACAAGGCGGTATCATTATTCCCGCAGAATGTATTTTTGAGGACAAAATGGCATCGGCACTGGGCCCCTTAATGTTAATTATATTTTCTAACGTTATTTCCGAAATGTATGTGTATATAAATATAGGTAACATGTTACCTAATGTTATGTTTTAAAATGTAATCAATGAAACTTTTGATATAACTGTCAAATTACTAATTACCTATTATTCATCACCATAGTGAGTTATTCAAATTGAATGCAAAGCTGATCATGATATTTTATTTAGTTTATTTAATAATTATTATTGGATCTTTGAATGAATAAAAGTTCTTTATTTCAGCACATTGTACAGTTTTCTTGTCAGAATCAATTTTGCATGCTTAAGGCGGAATTGACCGTTGTTTTAAAAAGTTAACACAACAATAGGTATAGGCATAACCTTCATTAGGGTTATGTGTCTCAACGAGTATTTTTAAACTTAATGAATGACATGACCGAAGGCCAGTCTGTAACAGTATATAGTAACCACGTAGTATTAGTATTTAGTAGACTGACATTGGCAATGGTCGAGCAAGTTGCCTCTCCTTCCCACACACACACACACACACACACACACACACACACACACACACACACACACACACACACATATACACACCTGCCGATCCTACAGCTGATAAACAACAAGCGTCCAATACGATATTTCGTCAGCTACCGCGATCGATCGGAAAATTATATAAATATTATTCAACGAAGCCAAATGTGTGCGAAAACTTTATTGGGCCAGTTAACAAAAAAAAATCAAAGTGTTATTGACCCTTAACCGCTGTGGTGAAACTCGGCCAATAATAGGGACATATACATACACACTCGTGCGGGTACATTATTCATACACTTAAATAAGTATTCTTTGGACACGCTATTATTTACGTGAGATATAAAATATGTGTTTGGATGACACAAAACGAATTTAATGAAATTCGTACCAACCATGGTTACATACAGCAGCGTAATGTCAATACATCATACACTTGTCTAAATAGCATGCAAAAGAGACGAAAAAAATATTGCATTATATTATTTAGATACCTAAATAGCTGAAATAAAATAATAAACTTTTTGAATTTTTTTTGTAGCGGTTCAAGCAAGTTCGAATCACTATAAATGCGGTCTTCATAATATTTATTGTTCTATATTATGGATAATTTTTCGTAGTGTTACACAATTATTTTAGAATATATTATTCAAATCACCTGTGGCAGCTTCTTCTTCTCCGGCCAGTGCTTCGTGGTCGTCTTCTTTGGGTTTCTTCTTTAGGCTCATTATTGATTAGTATTCGCTTAACGATACTCTGAAACAAATAAACGACTTAAATATTTTATCAAGTACAGTGTAACCGGTGTATATTATTGTATATATATATTATTTTTAGTGAGGACACATTTATTATTTAGTGTTTTTTATAAAAATATATTGATATAGGTATAAAAATATCCTGTGGCTATAAGATTTACTAATAGACAACAAATTCCAAAACGACATGTTATCTATATAGCAGACGTATTATAGTGATGTGCACGAACGAATGTGAAGCATTTATCAGTGGAATGCACTTACGCACAAGTTGTCATTAAACCGAAATCGTAGTTGTTGTTTTTGGTATGCATTGAGATTGTTTTGAGTTTTATTTAAAAAATAAGACCACTGGCTGTGTACAGTTAGTTAGAAATTTTTTATCGACCGAACGACGTTCTGTTTCTGCTATGACAGTGATGAATGATTGTCAGATAGGTTAAACGAACACTGTGCACACCGCACACATATTATTATGACACAATCTATTCTGGTTGAAACGTATAAAACTGATTTAAGTAAAAAACAAAAAATGTAAATTTAGTAATTTATTTTTCGATATAGATTTCAGACGAATGACACGTTTACTGGTTGTGTTTCACAAGCCAGTTAATAATAATCTATATAGGCTATATAATATATTTATTCTCGACAAATAGGTAGATATTAATATATATATAACCTACCTTTATATATAAATATTTTTTAATTACCTCGATAAATTATCATTTGACACATATTTGGCACTACACCAAAACATTTCTAAGAAGAGAAATATTTGTAATAACTTAATGATATATGGGTCAATATCATCAGGTTTTATCTGAGGACTTTCTTAAAACAATTAATTAAATGGATATCAAGTTGATTATCAATGGACGTTGGCAAACAAAATTAAAATTAGATAGTACCTATATAAATATTTAAAAACAAAAATGAACAACTTTCATCTCAAGTCTAACACTATATTTCAAAATGTTGAGTGTTAAGACACAATAAACACTTATTATTTTGATTCTATAATCATCCCATCAATCATTATTCACAATTTATTACCGTATGTTCATAATGACATAATATAATATATGATAATTATGATAGGTAATTAATAAATATTTTTACAATAGCAACTTACTATAAAATCAGATACCATTTGAAGAATCAATTTTTTTAAAAGGTATTCTTAAATGGTATTCAAATATATTAAACATAATAATATGCAATATACATACTATATTGTTATTTATTCGTATAGAAAACCCTTAAAAATCTTTTTTCCATAATAGCTTATTTTTTTTATTCTCAATCAAACAGACTAGCGTCACTGAGTAGGATATTCAGATAAGTATCTTATGTCAAAGTTAGTATTAGAATATATATTATGTGCTTGCAACTCAATAAGACCAAATATTTACTTAATATGTTGTGTTGCGATTTTATATAATGATTTATAAATTATAATAGGATTGAAATAAATTGTGTTTTTACTTAATAATACAATTCTCGTATAAAAGTAAAAACATTAATTAAATCTTATGGACGTTAAAACGTGTGCAAAGAAGCGGCACTAAAATAAATTGAACAAACGAAATAAACCGTTAAATTGTTGACATAATATATTTAAGTTTATTTTAAATGTCAAAAGACCCGTCAGACATCCGAAGGTGCAGTTATAGGTATATACAAAACTGTTTATTACACCGAAATGTAATAATAATTGCCAAAGTGGTTTGATATTGCATTACATACTCACTTGACGTCACACGGTAGTGTATATAGAGGTACCTACTGCAAATTTGATGTTCGAGATAATTGAGTTTCCATAAGAGCACATTATATATTATATTTACACTACCTATACACGTTATTATTGTATTATATACCCACCGACTGCGTGAAAAATGATACAATTTTATTATTATGGCACACCCCGATCGGGCCCGATTACAGAACATCACAATCCGGTCGATCGTATACGGATAAAACAAGCTCATTCCAATATAGTTAGGTATAATGTGCACGTATATTATGATCAGCTCGTTGTTTGTGCTACCCGAGAGCTATTATATAGAGAAGCAGTGGGAAATGTTTATAATCAATATATAATATTATATACAACGAGTATGTACAGTATACCTATACAACCTGCAACGATGGCCTCGCGGTAGACAGATGTGTAAGAGCATATTGTCGTTTGTTATTTTATGCCCTCCACTACTTACGGCGATTGCGGAAAAACGCATTAGAGAAATAGCTGATTTGTGTCCGAGATAAAATCGTAATGGATATTTTCGAAAACAAGAACGCGCTGCAAAGGACGGAGGAAAAAATTGCTACCGTGAGACTTTTGATATCTGTTTGAACCGTATACGACTGCGATATATAGGTACATAATAATATTATATCTTATATTGTTATTCGTTTTGTTTTGCATACGACTACGGTATGATATTATTAAACCGTGTAACGCATATTATAATAATACACACAGCACAATACACTTACGGTGTATATAATATTGAGTTTCACAGTCGTACGGAACGCGTTTAATGATGTATACTTACTGTGTATAAAAACATCGTTTGTGCATAGTTCATAATAAAGAATTCGATAGAGCGCACTTAACAATGAAAGAAATTATTTTTAATTTTCATACGAGTTTTTTTTTTATTGTTGCATAAGTAATAACATCCAACGCTCGTAAGTAGTCTATATTGTATTATGCATTATACCAATACAAGAGTCATCAGTGTTCATCGGTGCGCGGTTAAACATGTCAATGGATATTATATTTTACAAATAGGTCATTGGAATATTTTCAACTCAAGTATAACAATGTAACCTAACCTAACCTACCTGAAAACGCGAACATCTCGTAAACGTAAAATACCTACATGCTATTGTCATAATACTTTATATGTCTTGCAATAAATAAAATATAACATGTCACAAAACGCATTGGCGTCGGAAAATTTGGTTTGCGTATAGAGACCCGGGTAATACTCGAGTGCCCGATGAAATGTGTAATCCTGACATTCAAACCTACCCTAACCTAATATCGGGGAAGCTTTACAAGACACCGTAATAATCGCCGATGCACCAGCGTGTGTGAGTTGAATCCTAACCCGAGGAAATAAATATAATATCGTGTGTAAGAAAGATATACAATTTTATCCGAATTACACACTTTGCCACTCAAGTATGAAACTTTTACATATACAATTTCGAGTACCTACCTATATATACAATAGTATTGCATATATTATAAGGACCTACGACAAGTAATTTTAACGGACGACTTGAGCGAAGCGACTTTAAAGAATTACAAACAAGCGAATAAATATCACTTGGAAATCAAAAATCGACAGCTGACGGTTTCACTGATATAATATTATGTAGGTATAAGTATTGAAAAGCAATATTTTTAATGTTTTAGCAGTCTTATTGAGTCTATACGGCTCGGTTAGGTTAAGCTGTTACTTAAAACCTCCCATTACACACGACACAATAATATATTATACGACGTCTGTTTTATTTAGTAGTTAGTACTCCACTTGCTTATAAATAGTATATTCCGTACACAAACATTATGTTTATACTAACGTCGTGTTTATTATCCCTTTGAAAACGGACACGAAACGTTTCACTGTGCACAATAACATTTCGAATGCGATCGCACTAAAGTCATTACCGTCAGACGCGAATTTGTGTTACACTAAACTCGCATAAATAATTACGACGATGGCGGGCTCAGGTACATAATATAACAGTTTAACACGGTATGATGGTTGTTTATTTTGTACGTAATTCTGATTGAAATTAAATCATCCGAAAACTCAAACGCCAGAAAAGCGTCTAAATCGCGACTGAAGACGATATTCGCTGAATGTGCTGCAACCCTCGTAAGTCGTAACATAATATTATAACAATACAATATCGAGGTTTGTAAATATTGTATTCGAATAATAATTATAATAATATTATGTCAGAGGTGGATTTTGGAACGGGCGTAAAGCGAAGAAATATTTTGTGCTGGCCGGTATTTGTTTATCGTTTTATTTTTAGATTGTATTTGAAAACTGCAATAAACAGGTTTTTTTACTTGCTTTTTTGGACTGTTTTGCACGCAGCACCTCTGCGTGACTAATCGCTGAGGAGACATTGTATTTACGAATTACAGTATAGTTTTAGGCTATACTGTAATTAAGCACTAGTATCCACGGGATGTGGTGATAACGAAGACCGTCGTACGATTCGCATGCCTATTACCGCGATAGACACGAAGACATGATAATAATATGTAGGTACCTACCTATTATAGGTATCCTAAAGATACATATTATTTATTAACCGATCATGGGCGCACATTGAAATCGCGATGTCGCGATGTGTAGCGTTTTCATAAGAGGGTTAGTAGCGGATAGTAATGTATATCCGTTTGGGCGAATCGTCGTTTCCCAAAATGTTCGTTAATGGCGTAAAAGTAAGAGAAGAAAGATTATTGTAATTTATTTATGTATATTAAAACCCGGATGATTCCCTGAATTACGATATTACCTTTCTCCAGATTTTCGGTGGATTCTCGAGGTCATGTATTCGAGAATTCGATCAAATTCACCCTACAATTCAATATTGTATGTACGATATATTTAATATACTAAATATATATATTATAATGCAATATAAGAAAACACACTGATTACTGCTAGTAAGGAAGTCCAATCATCGCTCGCAGGATTCAGTAAAGGGGTTGTTGCTAGGATGACTGGTACGCATGCACTGTCGAAAAGGACGACATTGCAGTTATGCCGATAAGTGAGGGGCAGACGGCCTTATCAAAGGTGTTTGGTTTACAAGAATTATCTTTCTATTCGGAGAGACTTTTTTCCGCCATCCCTTTTCTGTGTCGACATATTATAAGAAAGCCACACGTCTTATACGCTTTACCGGTACAAATACATACGTGTCGA